GAATAGACGCTGGATCCTGAAGCTTCTAGCACTTTTGTAAGGAGTAAATCAGGTCAGCTGTGCCTTTACGAATTGAGAGCACCTTTTAGACACTGCCTGTAATTATGTGTGCGCAATTAGCTCTTTATGGGTACCAGATCTGCCCCTGATGATGGATGCAAGAACAGTTTGGGGACATCTATGGATGTTGGGAAAAAAATTGGATGCATTGAGGAGGCATTTGTGGATGTGGAGGGGACAATTGTGGATGTTGTGGGGACAGTTGTGGATGTTGAGGGGAAAACTGTGGGCACTGTAGGGACATCTTTGGATGTTGAGGGGACAATTGTGAATGTTGTGGGGACACTTGTTGATGTTGGAACATTTGTAGATGTTGAGGGGACAATTGTGGATGCTAAGGAGACAATTATGGATGTTGTGGGGACAATTGTGGATGTCGTGGGGACACCTGTGGATGTAGTGGCTCATCTTTGGATGTTGTGAGGACAATTGTGGATTGTGGGAAATGTGGCCGCTCTTCATAAGAAGTTTTCTGTTAGTTTAGTTTCTCTTTTTCTTTTATAAACCTTTGGTTGCTGTGTTTAAGGTTGAGTTAGGTGGAGTCAGCAGCAAACACTCAGTCATAGTAATACACACTGCTGAGTGTGTGTTAAAGGTGTAAAACTTTAGTTTTTTCAACCATAAAACTCCACATTCCACCAAACCTGCACAAGCCAGGTTGGACGCTGAACGATCCAATAAATGATGCACCACCTCGAAATAGTTTGAAAATGCTTTCTGTGTCAGTGTTATTGATAAAACGAGTATGTACTGGACTATGACTGGGTATGATTATTATTAACATTGAACACTGAGTTCATTTGGACTTGTACTGCCCATCCAAAGTTTGGGGACACTTAGCTTTTTTAAATATTTTCAGTATAATTGAGCATGTTTTCTTTGTCAATTTGCAATGTCATGCTGTTAAAACCTGACCAACATAACGGCTTAATGTTGTACAGTTTTGGCTGGAAATTAAATAAATGTGGGTTGCTCTCTGAGTTTAGCACAGTACTGTAATTATATACATTATATACACTATATATATATATATATATATATATATATATATATATATATATATATATATATAAAATCAGCATTAAACATATATAGATGTTTAATGCTGATAGAACATTCTTTTCTTCCTTTATTTAAAAGTATCAACAAGAAGAACTCAAATTAAATGCAAGGTGTCCCCTAATATCTGATGTATATCACTTATGAAATGTTTGTGCTTAAAATACATCTGACACTTTTGATCACCTTATGTCCAGCTGTGCTAGTTTCTGACCACAGTAGTTGGTCCACAGGGCTAATCTCACTCTACTGGAGCTAAAAAGCTGTGTTTTGGCAGCACTGTACAAAGCCTACAGCCAGCTTTTCAGCCAGTGACACACATCACCATAAAACTCCTCATTAACTCCCTTCGCTCTGTGATACAGATTTAATCACAGCTGTAAAAGAGCTGTATTAACCAACCACGCTCCACTCTAAACATGCTCCCACTCTACAGGCCTCCAATAGCCGCCTTTCTTCCCCCTCTCCCTGCCTACTGTTTACACACTACTCACAGAGCGGCGTGTGTGTTACAGTAATCTAATTTAGATCTAATCTAAATCCACAAACTCGCTGTACTGTACTAAGTGCTCGAACTGTTCTGTTCTAACATTTCTGCATTACCAGCACCGTTTTAACTCCGTTAATACTGTCAGTGCTCTGGTTGTCTGTGTAGTTTCAGCCATGAATAAAATTTGTTGCCCAAAAATTCAACATACTGAGCTGAAATGAGTCAGAACAGAGTCCAGTGCTGCAGTACAGTCAGTTAAACATCCTTCAGTTTTCACAGTAATGCTAACTTCCCTTACAAATAAAATAACTATAGTGCTAAATAACACTTCTATAATAATCTACAATAATTCCACCTTTTATAACATTCCTATAGTACTGGATTATAGTAATCTATAATACCTGTATATTATCCTGTTGCAGGGCCATTTAAGGCTATAAGCAGCATAAGCAATGGCCTAGGACCCTCAAGCCACCACAGGGCCTGGAGTACTCTTTAAAATGTATTTAATACTATTTCTCAAAAAAGTACAGTCATTCTTTATCATGAATGAATTAATCTATTATTACATACAAATTAATATAATTGGCAAAGGTGAGGCATGGAGCCCCCACAGGGGTGCAAATTTTGTCAGATGAGTTAGGGGGACCAATATCATGTAGCTAAAGCTTATATACAGCAACTCTAATGCAAAGCTGTGTAAACAAAATACACCTACAAATAGACTTCATAATGAGATCTCATGCTTAATATAACAATATTAAAGTAGTAAAACAAGTAATATTATTAAACAGATTAATAATATCATGTATTAATAGTAATATCAATGTATTAAGTAAAGGAATTCAGTTTTTTGCCTAATAAAGTGGCATTTTTGTTGTCTGCATGTTGCCGTAAATATTTTTGTGCGAATTGCAGATAGTAATAGATGTGAATTTTTTTAAGTAGGAAAATGAATTACTAATAATAACTGTTATGGCAAAAGTCAACAAACAATCATGGCACAGAAAAGAAGTGTTGAAAGTGATTCCAGAACAGGTTAGTGATTCTTTTCATTTGCTGACTATAGCTAAACAAAACATGAGGTGTACGTAGAGTTTTAAACTGTTATTAACAGCTATATAATAATTGAAATTGTCTTGCATAATTTTTGAAAGTGCAGGGGATGCCCCCCCCCCACCCCACCCCACCCTAAATTTGCACCAGTGAGCCCCCAAGTTGGAGGCCACTTGGTGCCCCCAAATGTTCAGAAATTGGCATGTCCTGTAGTGCACTTCAATAATTCTCCCCATGTACTGTAAGATTGTTATAGAATTCCTGTAGAAATGTCTGTAGTATCATTACAGATCTGCTCCATAAGGGATCATATAAACTGTAGGCTGCATAGTTTGTGTACAGTGGAAACGTGAAGCACTAAGAAAATGAAATCATCCCATCACTGTTTTTGTTTTCTATCAGTTCAGTCCCATCTCGCTTTGAATCAGAAGCCGGACTCATTCAGATTCCCTCTGAAGTGTTCGTTTCACTTTATTAACCTCCTGATGACTCGACAGTTCGAACGCTGTGTAAAGTTCCACAGAGCTGAGTGTGAGAGTGTGCCTGGCCAGTATTGCATAAAAACCTGTCTATGTGATGTATCTCTCTAAGAGAGTCACTTTTAACACTGCTCAGATTGTCTGGCTGGTGGTCCGGCTCTCGTGAGAGAGAGAAATTTACGTGTTTTCTGGGCAGGTCGGCTGACGTTTGATGAAAACAGAATCAAAACCGCAGATTTACAGGCCTGGCAAATCCTCTTTGCCCAACAGTGCAAGGTGGAGCAGTCCCCGACCCCACCAAAGAAACCGTTAATCGGATCATTAACCCTTTACACCCTTCACAGTCTGAGCAGAAATGTCCCCCTCCACAAACACACACACACTCACCTCTAACTCCAAACTGACCTGGGAGGAGAAAAGCTGAAATTTTCACAGCAGTTCTAAAAGTATATGGCTATAATTTATTTAAAGGCTAAGTACACCCTATAACACATGCATAAGCGCTGAATAATATATTTATAAAGCAATACTTGAGTTTTTATGAAGTCATTAATTCCATTTCTAAAACAGTTATGAAGCATTACCATGAGGTTATGAAGGTCTAGTTAAGTGAACACCACCTCTTGCTATTAAAGGGCATAAGCTGTTCATACATTTTCAAGGAATGCTTTATAACATATTATTTGACCATTGTACATGTGTTATGAATTCTCTATGGAGGTAGCCTTCAAATAAGCATTACCAAATATATAAATATATCTGCTCACTCATGACCATCCATCTATCTATCTATCTATCTATGGAAAGCAGATCCATAGCAGTTGTAGGTCGTAGGTTATACTTGGTTTTATTTGTTTTATTATTTTTTTTAATCATTATTTTATTTTTTACTTTTTTGTTAAGTCGCTCATATCACAAAATATTTATTTAACCCCTTCAGGGGTTAGGATCTACTGGAGGGTCCAAGATTGTACTATACATTTCTATAACATACTAAAAATTATATTTAAAGTCATTTTATAACACTTGGATAAGCATTGAATCGCAAATTTATAAAGCAACACTTAAGTATTTAAAAATAGCTTTTGCCATTAACTGCAAGATGCAAATGACACTGTGTTGACATAAAGGGCCTCAAGCTAAAGTGACAGCCATTTGTTCTATTTGTAACACTGTTATAAAGCTTTAATAATGAAGTGAATATCATATTTCCATCAATAATGAAGTGAATATCATATACTTACATTAGCCACTTCTATAACCTAATAATAATGCCACTTCATAACACATGCATAAGCATTGAGTAAAGTAATTGACATTGTATTGACGTAAAGGGCTTTAAACTAAAGTGACAGCCATTTGTTTCATTTGTAACACTGTTATGAAGCATAATGATGAAGTGAATAAGATATTTAAATGTTTATTTATAACACAATCCCATTACTAAAGAATGAATTAACCCCTAAATAGCCAGCACCTATGAGCCTAAATGGTTACGTTATAGTTCTATAACTTAGGAATAACAGCGAGTTTGCATTGTAGCCCATGTAGTTACTGTATAATAAGCTTTAGGATGTAATAAGCCTGGGATTTCAACTGAAGAGGTTAACAATTGAAATAAACTGAACATGACTGATACTAAGCTGACCTCTAAATGAGTGAATTCTCATGCTGCCTTTGAGAAACAACATCTTGGAGAAATAACACACATTTACAGACATATTCACACAGCAGCATCAGAGACTGGACACTGGTCAAATTCTCTTCTTCAAGCTCAGCTCAGAGAAAAGCTAAAGCCCAGTGAAAGTAAGGAAGGTGAGAATGAGGAGCAGAGTCCACAGATGAAGAGCACTCACCTCTCGTCTGAATGGTCCAGCTCAGTGTGTGTGTGTATTCCAGAGGCGGTCAGGGTGAGAGGTATGGAGTGTGTCTGTGTGAGGATCGTGGAGATAAAGCTGCGCTGATGCCCATGGACGGAGGTGTGTGAAGATGCGTCTCCAGACTTGAAGCCTTCGCTCCTGTTGCTCTGCAGTGTCCAGGAGTTAGCTGAGTTGGTTTTCTTTATTGCTCAGTGTGGGAAGCTGGTCTGTCTGTCTGTCACTCTACTTCTTCTTCTTCTTCTTCTTCTCTCTGCCTGGATGTGAATGTGTGTCTGCCTGCTGGGTTTGAACTCTTGTTTCTGGCTCTTCTCCGTCCACCCGCATGTGGATCTTATCAAACCGCAGGATTTCTATTGGCTCCGATCACCAAACAAAATCAGGCCAAGTCTCTCTCCCTCTCTCCCTCTCTCTCTGACACACCCACTTCTAACTCCTTCATTTTTTTTTTTTGCATTCTTGCCTTCTATTACTTTGCACACATAGACTTGCTCATCAGTGACTCATTTACACACATTGAACCTGGGGTGGAAAAATACTTCGTTGTGTGCAAAAGTTTGAACACCCCAATCTAACTACTAGCTTATATTAATTAGATTACTATCAAGTTGTAAAATAAGTAAAAATGAGTTAACACATTCTCCACAGGGAACACACTTTTTTCTTTAATTCAGCAACTAATCAGCAAGTATGCATTAAAATGAGCAGAAATGTGTCCACTACAGATAATGTGATAACTTATTTTCACTTAAAAAACATCAACAAAACTTGCAATCTGACCAGACTTGGAAGATTCGTAATTTATTCTAGATTTATGATAGATTTGTAAAGCATTAAATTTTGAACACTTGAATTGCATTGGAGATGATTTTGGGGTGGTACCGCTCAAGTCGCTGGGGTGGTACCCCTTAAGTCACTTGCGTGACACCCCTCAGGTCACTGGAGTGATACCTCTAGTTGTTGGTGTGGTACCCCTGAAGTTGCTGGGGTGGTACCTCTCAAGTCACTGGGGTAATAGCTCTCAAGTCACTGGAGTGATGCCTCTAAAGTTGTTGGTGTGGTACCCCTCAAGTGGCTGGGGTGGTATCTCTCAAGTCACTGGGGTGGTATCTCTCAAGTCACTGCACTGGTACCTCTCAAGTCACTGGCATGGTGCCCCTCAAGTCACTGAGGTGGTACCTTTCAAGTCACCGGGGTAATACCCCTCAAGTCACTGGGGTGGTACCCCTCAAGTTGTGTGCTGTATCTTGAAGGTATATTTATTGTATATTGGAGGTACAAAGGGTAAAGTACTCTCACCCATTTTTCTGATTGTAAGACTTACATTGTAAGCCGGACACAATGTAAGCCTTCGAAGTGCTTGATACACATCTCAAAGGCCAGGAGAACTTTTTCTTTTACTCTTTCCTAGCAGTTGATGTAAATATCAGTCCTTATATTTTTCGCTCCATACTTCCAATTTCAATTGACATTTTGATACAGTATCCATACTTTCATTTAAGTACAGTTTATCTTTCACTTTTATTTCCCTGCATATAACCAACATTCAGAGCTGAGATCCATAACCAGGAGGTTTTTCATGGTTCTGGACAGTTCTGGAGCTGTGCAGTTCTTCTCAACTTATCACAGAGTAGAAAAGAACATCAGTTTCCTTTTATTTGCACCCTAGAAATGACCGCTAGATGTTCAGATTATTAACTATCTGGTGAAACTCAACAAGGTTTAGAATTAAGATTAGGGTTAGGATTAGACTTTGGGTTGAGGTTAAGGTTAGCGTTAGGATTACAATTAGGACAATCTAAGATTTAATGCAAAATGCTGTTATTCTGATCTAGAAAACAGTTCCATCAATTGAGAAAAAACTTCGGGATTATTACATCTATAATCAAAACCTCCTCAGAAAAAATGAGAAAATGTGTTCAAATGTTTTTAAACTTTTAAATTTCCTCAAAGATCAAATCCTCATTATTTTGAATCCAAAAACAATGTGAATAATCATTTTAAATTAAAAGCTCTAATAATAATAATAATAATAATAATAATAATAAATGCTCTTTATAAAGCACTTTTCAAGAACATAAAGATGCTTTGAATTGCTTCAGTTCCTTTGTTTTCAGTGCATATATGCTGCAGTTGTCAAATCTAACACACCTGTGTGTTGGGTGATGTTTCTGGGTGTGACTGGTCACTGTGCTCCTCTTTGGGTCTTACAGCCTCTTCTCTGGCTCCATCTGCTGGACTGTTAGGAGAACTGAATGATTTGCTTTCACATGAAATTTCAGCACTGGAGTTACTGGATGTTACTTCAGTGCTATAGTACCTCACATCTATGACAATCACTATTACTACTGCTAATTAGAACACTGATTATTTTTAGTTTTACATCCCAATCTGTCATACAATTAATAGTAGCTGTTATTGGTCATAATAAACATCTGGATAACTATTTTGCCACTAGGCTAGTAAATATGTGTACACATTCCTTTTTGATTGTTTATTTGTTTGTGGACCTTTATCTAAATGGAACAAAATCAGCTTATAGATGTGACTATTTATTTATTTTATATCTGTAAGTGCTTGCAATGTCGTCTTACTGTCACAGTTACTGTCCAGCAGGACCTCTATACAGATGTATGCAAAAGATTGGGTCCTTCTGGTCAAATTACATGTTTCGTTGATTTTCAAAGTTTAAATCCTCTACAGAGTACACACTTAATAAATGCACAATTACTCTTTATTTGCTGAATTTGTTTTTTTCAATGTCAAACAACCTAAAATTTGGCCTGTGCAAAATTAATTGTTTTTCAAGAAAATAGTTTTATTAAATTATTAAATATGTTTAGCAAATAAATAATGTGCATTACAAATAGCATAAAAAGTTTGGACAGAATATGTCAAGTGGAGGCATGTTCAAATAAAGTTGTATGCCTTGGAGTGAAATTTAAGGGAATTTATGAATGGTCAAAAAACACACATGAAAGAAAGATTATAGCCTTATGTATTTTGGCAAATTTGGTGCAATATTGAATACATTTTATGAAGCAATTTGAATTTTTTTTGGACAAAATACATCATGTGGAGGCATCTTCCAATAAATTTATATGCCTTGGAGTGAACTGTAAGGGAATTTATGAACAGTCGAAAAACGCACACTAAGGTAAGACTATATTTGGTGCAAAAAAGTTTGGACAAAATACATCACATGTATACATTTTCTGACAAATTCTGATGCCGTGGATTGAAATTTAAGGGAATTTATGAATGGTCAAAAAACCCACACAAAGGTAAGACCTTACGTATTTAGGGAAAGCTGTTGCAATATTGAATGTACATTTTACATAGGAATTTGTAAAATATTTGAAAAATATATTATGTGGAGGCATTTTCAAACAAATTTTGGTGCCTTCGAGTGAATTTTAAAGGAATTTACGAATGCTTGAAAAACATACAAGAAGATACAACTATAGCCTTGCATGTTGTGGCAAATTTGGTACAATATTGAATGTACATTTTATGAAGCAATTTGAATTTTTTGGACAAAATACTTTATGTGGAGGCATTTTCCAATAAAGTTATATGCCTTGGAGTGAATTTTAAGGGAATTTATGTATGGGTGAAAAACACACACGAAGGTAAGACTATAGCCTTATGTATTTTGGCAAATTAGGTGCAATGTTCATTGTACATTTTATGAAGCAATTTGAATTTTTTGGACAAAATACATCACGGACATGCATTTTCCAATAAAGTTAAATTTATGAATGGTCGAAAAACGCACATGAAGGTAAGAGTATAGCCTTACGTATTTGGGCAAATTTTCTGCTATTTTCAATGTGAATATTATCAAGTAATTTGAATTTTTTGAACTAAAAATATTAAGTGGAGGCATTTTTCAATAAACTTACATGCCATGGACTGAATTTTAAGGGAATTTATGAATGGTAAAAAAATGCACACAAAGGTACGTCCATAGCCTTACATATTTTGACAAATTTGTTGCAATATTGAATGTACATTTTATGAAAAAATGTTACATTTTTGGACAAAATATATCATGTGGAGACATTTTCTAACAAACATATATGCCTTGGAGTGAATTTTAAGGGAATTTATGAATGGTCAAAAAACGCACACGAAAGTAAGACTATAGCCTTCTGTATTTTGGCAAATTTGGTCCAACGTTGAACGTGCATTTTAAGGGAAATTTGGCGCAATATTGAATGTACATTTTATGAAATACATTTAAATATTTGGAAAAAGTATATTATTTGGAGACATTTTCTAAAAAATGTACATGCCTTGGAGTGAATTTTAAGGGAATTTATGAATGGTCGAAAAACAGACACGAAGGTAAGACTATAGCCTTACGTATTTTGGCAAGTTTGCCGCAATGTTGAACGTACTTTTAAGGAAGGAATTTGAATTTTATGGACAAAATATATCATGTAGAGACATTTACCAACCACTTTTGATGCCTTGCAGTGAATTTTAAGGGAATTTATGAATGGCCAAAAAACACACACAAAGGTAAGAGTATAGCCTTACGTACTTTGGCAAATTTGGACCAATATTGATTGTACATTTTACAGAGGAATTCATAAAATATTTGACAATCTCCATTATGTGGAGGCATTTTCCGACAAATTTTGGTGCCTTGCAGTGAATTTTAAAGGAATTCATGAATGGTCGAAAAACGCACATGAAGGTAAGACTATAACCTTACTTATTTTGCCAAATTTGGCGCCATATTCAATGTACATTTTAGGGAGCAATTTAAATTTGTTTGGACAAAATACATCACGTAGAGACATTTTCTAATAAATTTATCTGCCTTGGAGTGAATTTTAAGGGAATTCATGAATGGCCGAAAAACAGACACGAAGGTAAGACTATATAGCCTTATGTATTTTGGCAAATTTCATGCAATATTGAATGTACATTTTATGAAGCAATTTGAGTTTCTTGGACAAAATACATCATGTGGAGGCATTTTCTAATAAATTGATATGCCTTGGAGTGAATTTTAAGGGAATTTACGAATGGTCGAATAATGCACGCAAAGGTAAGACTATAGCCTTATGTATTTTTTTGCAAATTTGGCACAATATTCAATATACATTTTATGAATCAATTTGAATTTTATGGACAAAATTC